CCCCCCCCCTCCCCGTCCCCTTCCCTGTCCCCATCCCCGTCCTCATCCCCGTCCCCATCCCTGTCCCTATTCCCATCCCCGTCCCCATCCCCGTCCTCATCCTCGTCCCCGTCATCCCTGTCCGCACACCCATCCCCATCCCGTCCCCGTACCGTCTCGGAGGCGAAGTGCTCGGGGTAGAACACGGCTCCCTCGGGGTGGCTGTGCCCGTACCAGCCCGGGGGTGAGCCCAGCTCCTCGGGGCGCCTCAGGGACAGACAGAGAGCGCTCCCCTGATCATAGGAGCCCACGGGTGAGTAGTCCTCCTCGGGATAACCCTCCAGCTCATCTGGAGACAGGTCAGGATAGTCCGTTTCCGGAGTCGGTGGCTGGAGAGAAGAGACGGGTCAAGATTTTGTGCCCCACAAAAAGCACCCACATCCCCAAGCCATGGCCAGCCCAGGTGGGGCCTGCCCCACCTCCATCATCTCCATCTCCATCCCCATCTCCATCTCCATCTCTGTTTTTATCTCCATCCCTGTGTCCATCCCCATCCCTGTGTCCATTGCCATCTTCATCCCTATCTCCATCTCTGTCTTGGTCTCCATTTCAATCTCCATCTCCATCATCTCCATCTCCCTCTCCATCTTTGTCTCCACCTCCATGCCCACTTCTGTCTCCGTCTCCATCCCTGTCTCCATTCCCGTACCTGTCACCGTCTCTATCCCCATTCCTGTCTCCATCCTCATCCCCACTACATCTCCATCCCTGTCCTCCATCTCCGTCTCCGTCTCCCTCTCCCTCCCCCTCTCCCTCTCCATCATCTCCATTTCCATCTCCATCTCCATCTCCTTCTCCGTCTCCATCATCTCCTTCTCCTTCTCCTTCTCCTTCTCCTTCTCCTTCTCCTTCTCCTTCTCCTTCTCCTTCTCCTTCTCCTTCTCCTTCTCCTTCTCCTTCTCCTTCTCCTTCTCCTTCTCCTTCTCCTTCTCCTTCTCCTTCTCCTTCTCCTTCTCCTTCTCCTTCTCCTTCTCCTTCTCCTTCTCCTTCTCCTTCTCCTTCTCCTTCTCCTTCTCCTTCTCCTTCTCCTTCTCCTTCTCCTTCTCCTTCTCCTTCTCCTTCTCCTTCTCCTTCTCCTTCTCCTTCTCCTTCTCCTTCTCCTTCTCCTTCTCCTTCTCCTTCTCCTTCTCCTTCTCCTTCTCCTTCTCCTTCTCCTTCTCCTTCTCCTTTCGTCTCATCCCATCCTATCCCATCTCCATCTCCACCTCCATCTCCATCCCCATCACCCCCGCGCCTCGCTGGGTGCTCACCCTCTGATCCATGGGACCGTACCGCGTCACCCCAGGGTACATATCCTGGGAGCTGCTGCTGTCTCCTGCGTGGGGGGGGTCCCACGACGTCTCACCTGTTACCGAATTATAGAAAAAAGCCTGTCCGCTGGCTTCGTCCATGTGCTGTTCCCACTCGGAAAACTCCGGGCTGTGGGCGAGCGAGGAGGCGGGAGAGGCGACGGGACTCACTCCATCTTCTGCCTGCCCAAAGGGACAATCCCACGTGGTCTCGCCCGTCACCGGGTTATAATAAAACAAATGTCCACTGTCCGTATCCGTGTGGGTTTCCCAATCCGACACGGAGCTGCCGGGTTCTTCTGGGGCCGAGCCGGGACACGGATGGGTCACTCGGGTGCCGCGGTTGGCGGTGGGTGCGGTGAGCCGTGGGGTAGGGATGTTGGGGATGGCGCCCCCGGGATGTCCCCAACATCCCTTGGGATGTCCCCGGGGCCGGGTGAGGGGACCGAGGAGCCGCATCCTGCCCTGTCCCGACTGCCGGGGCATCCCATCACCTGCCCCGAGACACCCCCTCGCGTGGGGCAGGAGCTGCGAGGGACGGGATGTAGGTGGCTGGGTGGTGGAGGAGGGCACCCACAGCACCCACAGCACCCACGGCGGGGGAGGGGGGACCGGGGGGGGG